TATGGGCCAGGCGGTATCTGGAGTGCGACTGAAGAGAGTTTGGGGTGTCAGGATTGGGAAGATGGCTGTCAGAGGGAGGAGAATTGCCCCAGCACAAAGCAGGGAGGAAACTTAGGGAGGAGCTACGGTGACAAGGCAGGCATTCTGGTGGAAGATTTGCCTGGAGCTGCTCTGGACTGGCCTGATTCAAGGCTGGCACTGACCCGAGCCTGCTTTCTTTCCAGTGCCCCCCCACCCACCCTTAGTGTATAGTTGGTTAGGGTCCCCGTTGTGCCTTCTCCTGGGGGACACTGGGTATCAACTCCCTCCATCTAGTGCTCTGCTCATCTTCTCTGCCTCTCGGTAACTCTACTGCAATCTGCGGTCACCTCCCTCTGCTGGAAGCCACCCCTGCAATTGTCCTGCGCCTCGCTAGCGCTCCAGCCTGGGAAGACTTCAAGAATGCCTGACCCTCCTTTGTGGTCGTCGGTGGAGCTGGTCTGACTTGTGCAGACTGAAGTCTGCCCGCCTCGCGCTGCTTGCCCTTGACCTGGGGCTGCACCCGCGGGGCCTCCGCTTCTTCTGGGAGGGCGAGGGTGGCTCATGCCACTTCCATAGGTATCATCAGTGCAAACAGGTCAATTCATAATTACAAAATCGAAGCTCAAAACGTGATTCCTGCGGGCCCTGTTTTGAGTGTGAGGCTTACTGAGCCCTTTGATGTGGTTCTCCTCCTTGTTTTCCTTTGAAACGTGCTCGAGATAGCAGCACCGCAGACTTGCTGGCTCTGAACAGATCGTTGTTTAACTCCACTTCACCCCAGCTGATCACAGGCAGACGTTTTGAAAACTGGAGCATGTGAGGGGACACACCTTCGCGAAGGACGTCTAAGGGAAGCCTTGTGCAAAAACCCCGGGACCTTTGACCTTGGTTCATTGTCCATCTTTGGTGGTAACTCACAGTGGCTGAGTTTCCTCTGTTCCTGGTGTGGTTTTACTCCCTGCCTCTGGTCTCCATGAGCTATCATGGACTGGGCTTGTTTGCACAGGGACAGGGTTCCACATGGTGTGTGTGTGTGTGTGTGTGTGTGTGTGTGTGTGTGTGACAGACCTCAGTGTGAATCCTGGCTCTGGCCCTTAGTTGAAACTATACATATAATTTATATTTTTCCTTTTTCGTGGGAGCTAATACAGATATCCTATCCTTCCATAGTTCAGAACTGTATGATTGATACCACAATCAGTTTCAAAACAGTCTCTTCCCTCTTGAACTCCTTCATATCAGTTCCCTGTTAATTCCCTGAAAAAATAAAATTTTTAAATAAAAATGAAATTGTATTTTAACCCTTTTTATTGATAACAGCCACAAAAACAGATTTTGAAAGCCACACAAATGTAGTGTGGAGCTTGGATTATTATTATAAGCCTAACACTCTTAATACCCCCACCCCACCCCACCCCGCCAGATGCATGGCCATCCAGTCGCTCTCGACTCAGTGACTTTACAGAGGGTCCCTGAGGGGCACATCTCCCACGGAGCAACTGGTGGCCTCAAACTGCTGACCCTGAGGTTGGCAGCCCAGCTCAGAACCACTACGCCACCAGGGCCCCTTAGTGAGAGTCTAGTGATTTAAAGTGTTTCCATTTTTTGCAGAAGAGATCAGATCTTTCTCATGCCAGGCATATTTTCCCTCCTCTTATCGCAGGCAAGGCTTTTTTCAGGGAAAGGGAGAAAAGCAGGCTGTCTCTACTCCTTTTCCACCGGCCGGAACGGAGCAGCCCGTTTTAAAGGTGTTATTTCCCTTGTATTAGGTCAAGAAGCTCAAGTTTACATCCCATTTTCTCAGCTTGTCGACTTCTACCCAGTGTCTGGCGACCGCGATCCAAACCTCCTCAGCACTGGGGTGCTCAGCCTTTCCACGAGCCCGCAGAGGTGACTCAGCGAGCCCTTGACACCAGAGTCACCCAGCTCTCACTGGCTGGGAGTGTGGCTGTCTAGCAGGGCCAGTGTTGCCCCGGGGGCATTTGGTGTCAGAATGGGTCAGGAGGGAGGGTCGTATTGGCATCTAGCGGACAGAGCCCAGGGACGCCGGCAAAGTCTCTCTAATGCACAGGACAGCCCCCATCACGAAAGACCTGTCCCGCCTAAAAGTCCAATGGTGCCGAGGATGCAGAGTCCCGTATCGGTGTCGTTAGGTGACACCAAGCCCATCCTGGCTCACAG